TGGAGGACGAGGACTGTTTCCTGAACCAGTAGCCTACAATGCTGGCTGTTCTGACAAATAATGCTGACTCACAGCCTGTAAGTATGTTTACATATTTACAGGATTTGCCACTGAAAATATATTGACATGGTTTTTGGTACTTATACCGCAAATATATATTCTTAAGGACATCAAAACCGAAAATAAAACTCCAGAAAGGTGTAAAATATGTGACCTTTAAACCACATAAACACATTTCATTACACCAAATAATGTTCTTTTTTAGCAACGTCATATGACCCCTTTAAACCTATGATGTTTGTAATGGTAAAGTTATGTAACTTACTTGATGTTTACTGCACAATGTTCCAACAAACACCAAACTGCAATGGTTGTTGGGTCAGTGTGAACTAGCCCAGAAACAAGTCAATAAAAATGTCAGTGAGATCCAGTACATTCAAAAACACACGGCCGACATCATATTTCTTGTGTTTTTAAAGATAAAGTTGTGTCATTGTGGCTGATGATCAGCAAAATTGAAGACAGTTTATGTTCACGTGCACAAAAGCATGCTATCTTCCTGATGCATTTCAAAACAGAACAACAAGTGAAATTTAAGGAATAAATCACCCAAATATTTGTTCACCCTCATGTCATTCCAAACTCTGTTTTTAGGGTTTCTGAGGGTCTTAGTCTGAATTCGACCTTTCACAAATGAAGATCTAAGAAGGTCTTAAATCAGAGCAGAACGTCTTATTCATAAATTCAGTCACAGCACTACATTTTTCTCAGTATTCTTACTTGTTTTCTAATACAAATATCTAAACTTCCTTAAATCAAGATACATTTCCTTTTGATGAAATTTGAAGATATGAAGTCTTTTCTAAAACACTGAACAAAATGAAGCGAGTTCACGCTTAAAGCAACAAATATTTGTCAATGGGGTATAAAATCTTGTTTTCCTTTTGAATTAAGATTGAGTTTCCTGAGCCTATTGGCAGACATTTGTTCTTGTCTTTATCATAAAATCATAAGCAAGGCATATTTTAAGTCATTTTGCTTCTCAAGTAAATCTTAATTTAAGAATCCAGGTCAAACAAGACAAAAATACTTTAGAAAATTACTTTTTTGCAGAGATACTGTACAAGTTATTTACACATTCTGGCGTTTGGGAGCAGAGCTAAATTAAATTAAAAAGTAATAGAGATCTATTGGAATTTTTTATATTTAGACACTGATGTACTGTGCTCCATTCAATTCATTCCTTACATTTTTATGCTTGTCTTAAAAAGGACAAATAAAACCCTACCCCTTCATAAAACCTGTTCTTTTGTGGGGTTGATACACGACATGAGGGCGAGTTGCAATATTCATTGGGTGATGCAGTTTGAGTAGACCGTTTCCTACTCGCGTACAAGGCATACCAAAGAAAGTCAGGCTTCTTCGCACATGCGTGCTATTTTCAAAAGAAACCACACTCATGAGAACATATTGCTTGCTGCATTATTCATAACTACACTTCTGTTCTGCACACATTATCCAACACTATAATCTGAAATCAGGAAGAAAATAAATCCCACAGAGAACCAGACGAACACCAACACCATAATCCTGCCTGTTTTCCTCCACACCACTTCAGGACGTGGTTCATTTAGTGCCTCTGCCATCCCATCACAAAGACAAAGACCTGATGATAATCTGTGCCGGTAATCAGATCAAAGGAATGATGCTGTTGACGTGCTTATGACAGGCTTATGCATGAAAGATGCCCCTAAACTCAACCTGAGAGATTAGAATGATTGCGTTTAAATCTCCGAGCATTTGAGTACAAGCCCTTTCCTCCGCACAGCTGATATGTTGCAATCCAGCTCAAAGAGGGATGGCTTGAACTCTCCTTAGGGAGAGAAGGAAAGATCGCGGCTTTACATAAGCTGGACAGCGACATACAGCTGTGAGGTCTGGCCAGATTAACAGATGCTGTGCTCGAGATTAGCATTCAGATGCAAGAAGAGAGAAATTATTTGCTTGCGTAAACAGTTGTTCTGAGAAGCTGCTTTTTGGATGGAAGAAACTGCAGTGATATTACGAAATGAACAGGAACTGAAATCAACAAATGGCTTTTTGTTCATTATTTCTTCACTCATACCTACAAATGCTCTAAAATGCTTTTCAATTTTACAAGCTGAATGCCATAAACTCCTTCATGAAACGACAACATATTTCTCGCCGTTTGTTGACAAGGTTGAGCAAACTGAAAGAAAAAGGTGCATTCTTGTGACCAGTTATCAGCAAAAATCAAGAAGGTTTCTCAATGTGCGCTCAAGTAATCTTCCAGACGCATTTCAAAACAATGACGTTAAATTAAAAAGATAGTGCACCCAAAAATTAAGTTATGATTTACTTGCTCTCATGTAATTCCAAAACTGTATGACTTTCTTTCTTCTGCAGAACACAACAGAAGATATTTTGAAAAATGTTTCAGTGTTTTTTTTGTTGTTGTCCATTTTGGACCCCACTGACTTTTATTACCCTTTAAAATAACTTGTGTTCCACAGGCAAAAAGGAAATCATCGAGGTTTTGAAAGACATGAGGGTGTGTACATAAAGATGCAAAATTAATTTTAGGGCGAAACATGGAACTAGTCCTTGAAATCAACAAACTGCTTTTTGTTCATGTTTCTTCATACCTAAAAATGCTTAATTTCAAATGCATATCATATATACACACATACATAACCACAGGCACACATCAATGGTGCCATGTTATGTTGAAATTTACATTATCTTTTAAAGTACTTCCTTATTCACAATACCGTAATCATCCAACCTGCTTCACGTAAATGGCAGATAATTTTTTCCTGGCATATGAACAAACAATAAAGCTAATCAATAACTAACAAACCAATTGGTCCAGATCCAATATAGCCTGTAAGTACTGTTTCAGTAGTTAATTAGTAATGAGACAATAAGGTACTTACAGACATTCTGATCAAGATAAAAAAAAAAAGCCCCAACTACCTGCGCATGTGGACCTATATTAATAAACAACACACATTAAATAATCATGACTTACCTTCAATACTTCCCCACGTTTAAAACTCAGCTCATCATCTGCAGTTGCTTTGAAATCATACTTGGCAATGGCCTCCATGATACAGCCTGATGGACAACTATGTGGTAAGGTACAAAGCAGTGGAAGATGCCTCCTGATGCAGTTTATATCCCTGTTGTGGACCAGAGGACCAGACAATGAGATCTCAACAGCGACGATGAGCACAGACCCAAGAAGACACAATGATCTCCACCTGCCTCTCTCTGTCTGTCAGCCCCGCGTCTCTCCTCCCGTCGCGGTCCTCGCATAAAGATCACGGCGAGAAACCTGCGAACAAAGTACAGTCTTTCAGAAAATCCGATAGGGCTGTTGATCTAGTGTTCTAGATTGTTCAATGGGCCGCGCCCCACGATACAACAGGCATTAAAAAGCAAAACGCTCCCCATAAAAGAGGAAGGAAACCCGTCTGCTTGACGTCTCAAGCGGCCAATTACGCGCCGCGGCCAGAGCGGACCGTCCAATCAGATTAGCGCGTCCAAACGGCGTCAGTCAATCAAAGCCCTAGAAGGGGCGTCAACACCCGATTGGCTTCCCCCCGTCTGCTGCTCGACCAATAGACGGTCAGAATTCCACAGCGTTCGCGAACGCAAGGCTCGATCACGTCATAGCGCTATAGAACGTGCACAGAATAATATTCTTTTGAGCAAATATCAAGAATTGCGCAGACATAAGTCAACGAGTAAACGCGCTGTAATATATGATCAGATTTGTAGCAGAGAAAATTGCGTAAATGACACCGAAAATGCTTTGGATGTCATTTAAAGCATAGGCTACATCGTACATTTGAATCATATCGATATCTTGCATAGCACTTGCAATGCAACAGGCAGCTTTTGACAACGGCGCATTATTGTCTAACGCTTGAATCTCGAAACATGATTTACCATCTTATAACAGAATCGCATAATGTTTACAACATTCATACAAAAATAAATATGAATCTTAAACGGCAAAAAAAGTGAAATCGTTTACCATTAGGCGATATATATAACGTTATATGTGCAGTAACGCTGCATAAAACTAACTTCCAAAGTCTAAATATTACATGCAAGTTTTTTAAAGTAGTTATATTCACACTGTATCTTTTAAATGATAATAAAAATAAATAAACATGACTAATTCCAGTACGGTTCCCGAAGGTTCTAGTTTAAAAATCCCGTGATATAGCCGAACTTTAAAAAACAACACACGAGAACGCGTTCCTTCTGTCAACATGTCTAGAAGCATAAATTCCATGATTTATTTAACAGAAATGATAGCGAACAGCGGTAATGTATAGGAAAGCACAGAGGCCTTATGGCCTTTGCTTGTTAACGTGGAAAAACAACACACTGACGCTGGCAGTCAGAGAAAAGCTGTAGTTTCTTCTACTCACTCTTGAAAACAACTGTGAGGGCCAACACTCGCTCTCTCGTTTTAAAGACCCTAGAATCCACTCTAATTGTCTTTAATCGTTGATGAGGTTGAGCTTTTCTACCTCGTCCGACTTGAAATGATGAAAAATTGCTGTATTTTTCTGTTTATTTCCGTTTCCTCTTTGATACAGCGACGTCCGCACGTTCAG